CTCCTTAGTTTGTAAGGTGTAGGCAGGGATTACATTTAGATTTTATATGCACGTGTAAATGGTTTAAAACTTCCTTTCTTTGTAAATCTCGTTTAATTTTAAAGTGCATTACTATATTTTTCAATACCAATTACTTGTTAAAGTTTGTACAATCAGTGGGATCAGTTGCAATGCATATATGTGAATGATAAAAGTAAATTGCACATTTGTCGAAGGAAATGTAAGGTGCTTCATGAAATGTTTTGTAAAAGATATGTTCATTTAATTTCAACATTTTCCTAATGTTCTTGTGCTTCTTTATACCAAAACAAAGGAAAGACATATTGTTTTGGTTATTTATAGCAAAGTATGGTATCATTTTAATGGTCCGGCCCACTTGACATCTACCCAGGCCGTATGTGGCCCACCATGTGAAATGAGTTTGACACCCCTGGTCTAGGCCAAAACAATTGAATCAGGTGTGTTGGCGTTGGGAGGCACCTAAAACAGGCAGGATGTGGCTCTCGAGGAACCGGACCTACGAATCTACCCCTGCCTTAGACCTGGTCTGGTTGCAGGAAAACAAAACTTCATCAATTTATGTATCTATTTTTTTAATGAGGTGAAATTTTAGTCATTGACGGAGAGTTAACATTGACTTAATTTTCTGACGCAACTTCAGAACTCTTCTTGGTGGTTTTCATTCTCTCTGGGTGAACTCGTCGTTGCCTGACCGCCAAGAAATTACTTTAAAACATTATTTTAAATTCAAACCTCTGGCGTTTTGAAAAGCTTTTATTTTGAAGGTGGTCAACGGTCGGCAGATTTCCGTCATGCAGCGTATTAACAATTGGTGGCTTGACATCTGTACGGAACTGGGGTACGTTGAGGGATAGACACCCCTTGACGAAAATCTCCTGAATTTGTTGTCAACGTGCTCAAGCCCCCACCCGGGGCGTCCACAATCGTCTCGCTGGACTAAACATCTTTCGTTGAAACTTCGTGTCCGATTCAAGTCGTCTCGGTGGACATTGGTGTTTCTTGGCCTAGTGTAGCTTCGGTTAGCTTGCTAGCCGCTAACAAAGGGGCCCTCGTGCTCAACACATCGCTGCACGGAGATGGTAAGCGTAAAGTGTTGTTGCAATTTTCGCACCATGTGCACAAGAAGGACATCAGAATACGAGGAGGAACTTTGTAAAGAAAAAGAGGACCACAAGGGACAACGTAAACTGCTGGACGCCATTGGCAGGATGCAGCCAAGAATTGTTCTTCACAGATTAGGTTGGCTCACGCTGTTCGCCTCACTTGTTTCGTCCTCTTTCTGAGCATCCTTCATATGCTGTCTTTCTTTTACGCAGTATGTATGCGTGTGTGTGTGTGTGTGTGCGTGTGCGTGTGCGTGTGTGTGTGTGTATATATATGTTCACAGTATAGACACACATTTTATATATCCTCGATGCTCCACACTTTTTTTTTATTTACAGTAGATTGTTGTGCCGGCCAAGGATCTCAGCACAAAAAGAGATATGCCAGAGCGCCGTAGTAGTCCACTTGAAGCACTTCAGTGGGAGGCAAACACCTTTTTGGCATAATTTGCACAAAACACACTAAAGAATACTTCTAATCTGGTACCGTATCTTTTTTTTCAAATTAAATTTGCCTCCTATTAGTCATAGCAACGTGGTTCTTCTATTTTTTTACTCTTATTCCTCTCATCAGCAAGAGACTGTGTGTCAGTCAGTGTGATGGCTGTTTGGAACCAAGTTTCCGCATTGTTTGAAATGAAAACTGTGATTAAATGTGTTAAGTTTTGAATGCATTCATTGATTAATTAATCGTAATTAACTGATATAACACAATATTTATCTATCAATCTATCTATCTATCTGTGTGTGTGTGTGTGTGTGTGTGTGTGTGTGTGTGTGTGTGTGTGTGTGTGTGTGTGTGTGTGCGTGTGTGTGTGTGTGTGTG